TGGGGATGCTGGTTCCCTAGGACAGCGCCCACCCCTACCTGGCACACCCTTGCTCAGGTGCAGGGCAGTCAGGTTCAGGGACCTGAATTCCTTCCTCCAGGGAAACAGAAGAAGGTTGACAGAGATGAGCTCCAGGAACTCCAGTGCTCACACAAGCTCCTGACAGACTTTGGGGACAGGGCTGGGCACCCTCTAAGCAGCTGCTGCCCGGAGCAAAGGCTACTTCCACCAGTAGATGGAGCTAAGAAGGGGCCTCCCTGCCCAGGAACTACTTGGCTCTCTGGGTGAGGGCCGCTTGCCTGCAGACAGTAGCTGATGAGGTCACCGTGGAGGGTCTCCAGAGCAGCCTCCCCTGGGGCTGAGTGCCCACTCATGGCTGCTCCAATGGAGCCGGAAGGGAGGAGAGTCCTATGGGCCTCCCCTGGCCAGACCAGGCTGGGAACCTGGAGGAATGGACAGGGCCTTCTTCCAATCCTCCCTCATCTCCATCAGAAAGCCAAGAAGGAAGTTGCATGTGCAAAAGAGAAAAGTGTGAGGGTCAGGGATTTAGCTCAGTGGTTCCGCCGCCTGCTGCGCAAGGACCTGATTTTGATCTCCGGTATCAAAAAAAAAAAAAAAAAGTGTGGCACCAGCCCTGCAGCTGTTTGTCACTCTGGAGAGTTACTGAGCCTGTGCTCCGCTCCTGTCCTCATGACCTCCCAGAGGAACAGGGCCTAGGTCAGGCTGGGTCCTTGCTTTGACTCCAAGACAAAGGTGAGAGACTGGCATACCAGTGCCTGCATCCTCAACACCCCATCTGCATCCACTCTGTTCCCCAATCTCCAGGGGATATCACCACCAAGGCTTCTTATGCCTCATGCTTGAGAGTTCTCAGGCACAAGTTGTGGGCAGATTGGAAGTGCCAGGCAGCTGACATCCAGGGTCAAGCCTCAGCCAGCCAAGGACCAGTGGGGAAACCCCAGCTTCCTGCTTTGGGCGACAGTTCTGAGATGTGTTCTGCACTGTCTTGCATAGTTGGGGGGGCAGTCCAGAGTGGTGACCTGCTCCTGAATGCACCCATTCTTGGCTGTCCTCCCTTCCTCAGTTCAGTTCCTTTGTGGCTCCCTGGGGTCACCTCCCAAATGAGCTACTTATGCCCAGATCCTGTATCCCACCCTACTTGCCTGGAGTCTTCAGAAGACAGTGAGGTAAGGTCCTGTCCACAGATGGCTCACAGCCTGGAAACCTGTGCTCCAAGCAGGAAGAGACTGTTGCCTTATGGTGACTACAGGCCATGAGGACCTGATTCTTGATCACTATTTGCTTTCTATGAGACCCTGCTGGGCATCTGCCTCTCCAGTCACCAGGAAGTACATCTGCCTGGGTGCTTGGCCTTGGAGCTGCCTCAGACCTGGGCACACCAGGTCTAGGGTCTCTTTGCTTTCTGTCCCCAACTCCACTGCCTCCTGCAATGTTTTCTGACCTCAGTGGCCAGGGAAGTTCCTATCCCTTGATTGGGAGGTTATTCCTCAGTTCTACTTGAAAGCGGATGCTCCACTGAATAGCATCAGGACACTCCCCATGCAAACCTGTGACTTTCTCTCCCACAGATTGTTCTGGCTGAGTTAATTTTGTCCAATATGGGGGGTGCTGCTCTTTCACACACATGGGCTCATCTGATCCTGAACCCAGAAAGGGTAGGAAGCTAGTCCAGGTCCACACCTGGCCTTCCTTTGGCGACCCCCCCCCCATTCCTGTCTTTGAATTGCAGACAAAGATTAGGTCCAAAGTGGGAGAGAGTGGAGAAAGGGCTGGGATAATTACAGCTGGGGCCACAGAGGGCAGGAGAGGCCTCTGCCCATCACTTGTCCAAATCCTCCTGACCTGTTGTGCTTGGGCCATCTCACTTCTCCGGTACCAGCTTCTTGGCCTGAGGACTAGCTCCCCAGTGGCTCCCTGCCACCTGCTGGAGCTTTGGATTTGGTGTTAATTGCATTATTCATACTTTCTGGGCCTTCCAGGGAGTGACTGGTTTAGTGAGAACCTGCTTTCTCTGCCTGCCAGTGTGACTAGCTTTGGGAGGACATTGGGCTGGGCTAGGGAGGTGGCATGAAGGATCTTCAGAATTACCACTAGGATAATTTAACGACATAAACCAATAAGTATCTTTATTGCTTTGGCCTGAGTAGGCTGATGGTGGGGCAGGGGTCCTGAGGCCCAGAGAAGGGAAGGGTCGGGCTGAAGGTGAGCTGATGGCTGAAGCAGAGAAGCCTGGCTCTGGAACTTACTGTCATTAAGTCTGCATGACACATGGGGAGAAACCTGTTTCTCTCAGAATGGAACTGTTTTCAGTTTTCTCTGAAAACTTTTTTGGAGAGAGGCTCTTTCTTTGTTCTCGATCAGGAACCAACCAGTGTAGAGTGGGGTTTTCACAGCCCCTGTTGCAATGGAAGAATGAAACCTAGAAAGACAGTATACCTGCCTATTCTTGAACTTCCTGGATCCACCCATGCCACAATTATCACCAGGACAATTCAACTGCATGAACCAGTAAGCACCTTCCTTGCTTAAGATGTTCAAATTGGGTTTCTATCTCTTGCAGTTGAGTAATGGAGGAGGGTGATGGGGCTGAGCCTGTAAGGAGGCACAGAATCCCTTTCAGGAGATGTCCCCCTGTGCTACCTGCAGTCTAGGTGGTGGGTGGTGGGCCAAGTACCACCAGCTGTGAAGCAGAACGATAGGCAGCCTCAGTCCCCCAGAAGTCGAGCTGATGAGGGTGGTCAGCTGTAGTGTAGTTGAGGATGTGGCAACAGTGCCCAGAGGTATGCAGCCCTGAGATATTTGGCGATGTGCTGGGCAGGCACGGCTCCATTGCAATGGTGGATGCCCCGTGTGCCAGTCCCAAGTCCGCCCTGGGCAGTGGGGCCTGGGCTCGGGAGATGCAATGTGAGGCCAAGCCATACAGAGCCCAGGCAGAAGATTCACCCCTCCCATGATGAAGCTCCCTTTCCTCCCACTGCTCATGCCTAGGTCCTGGTGGACACCTGAGTGTAAGGATGGGCATCACTAGAGTGTGCAACACCTGAGTGTGCATGTGTGAGCTCCAAGAGTGAGGGCCACTAGTGTGACACTGAAGCGGTCTGAGCAAATGACACAAAAGCACAGGAGGTAGCGGATGAATGATGACGCTATGCAGAAGTGTGTGTCTGGGGGTGTCTCTAGGAATTCGGTGTGGGAGATTCCGTGTATGAATGTGCATGCAGGCTTGGCAGGCGTGACAGTGGGTGTCCCACGTGGTGGCTGTTGACAGCCATACTTTTATCCACCCCTTTCCCCTCTTGGGTGATGCTTGTTGCCTGGTGCAGCAGATGCTATTGGTGCCCCGTTCAGAGACCGTGGAAATCATGGTCCAGTGATGCTGACTCAGTAAAGCTCATGCTGTCCACCACAATGGCTTCATCTTCAGCAGCTGCAGCTCCCCTGTCTGAAGATCTTCTTTGACATGAGCCCATTTGGCCTGCACCATGGCGGAATTATCCTCTGAAGAGCAGCCTCTAAACAATGACCACACCCTTAAGAAGGCTGCCTTCAGGCGTGATCAACCCTGTCTCTCAGAGTCGCCAGTGGGATACAGCATGGTCTTCCTCAGTGGTGACCTGCTTGATGGCATACTCATTGGCTTGCTTCCCCTTCCACTACCTGTGATGCTCCTGAGATTAGCTCCCTAACCAGCCTTCTGCATCCACATCTTGTCCTAGGGTCTGGCCTGGCCCCTCCTATTTGCCTATGCTGGTAATGCGGCTTCACCTCCTGTTTCCTTGGGGCCTTGATGAACCAGGTTATGCTCAGGCTATGAAGCAGGGGTCTTCTCTTCAGTCCTTTCAGGCCCCTGGTAGAGAGAGGAGGCCAGTGTCTCTGTAGGAATCCAAAAAGGACCTTGCATGTGGTACCATATGTGGACATTCCACAGCACAGGATATGCCATGGATGAGGAAACAGGAAGGGTGAAGAGCCCAATAACCCCAAGGGCCTGAGGGCTCCTGTGTTTGGAACAGGTGTTAGTATTCGTGGTTCAGATTTGGGACAGCTCGAGGCTGGATTCCATCACCATGAATGCTATGACCTTCATTTTAGAAGGAGCCCTGGAGTATGGAAGTGGCACCTCAGCCATTCATAGCAGTATTGAGAACAGAAGAGGGGTTGTTTTACATACTGTAAATCAAGCAAAGGCATTAGGATGTGCCCAGAAAGAGGGGCTGGAAGATATGCATTTGTCCTGCAAATGGAGTGCTTGATTGGGTTCAGCCTCATGGAACACCCCAAGAGTGAAAGACAAGCCATAACCAAAATGGCACATTTTATCTACAGCTATACATGTCCATGGGCAGTGGGTTGCCAAGTAGGGGAAAAAGGGATTCAAGGGCGTCTGGTTCATGTGGATAGTGGCAGCAGCCAGCCAGCAGGTGGCAGTGTGGGCTCAGAGTGCGGGTAGCCATGCAGGAAGCCATGCAGGACATTGTCCTCCACTCCTCCGGCTGGTACATGGACTTGGGATGGGATCAACAGTCAAGGTCACGGTCTTACAGACAACACAGAAAGGAAAAGGAGGATTTTTAGAGTGGAGTAAACATCTCATTTCAGTCTAATTACAACTTCCCCTCTTCCTGGTAGTATATGCCATCAGGGTGATAAAAGCCAACTGTTGTTAAAGTAAAATGTGTGGTATTGTGTTTCTGGAGTCAAGTCCTGAAGATGACGGCCCATTGTTGTGACCTGTACACCAGCCAAGTCTCACAGAAAGGATGCCATGTCTCAGTGAGATCCAAAAGCAAAACACAAATTCCTATAAACCTCTCAATACCCAACTATCCACTCCAATAGGAAAGTGACACTTCAGTGACTGAATCCTGAGATGTCACGGGCATGGCACGCCAGCTACAGGGACTCATATTTTCAGACCCATATTTTGCTGTCTGGAGCTTTCTTGCTTTCAGATTTCTGCCCCTTAAGCCCCCATGCAACTCTTGAAACTGTTACTTCTTGTTACATTTTTATTGATATATAGATTTTGAACACAGAAAGGATACATTGTTGCTTATTCAGCTCCCATCCCGCAACAAGAAAAGCTACTCAGCTCCAACCTTCAAACACTGATGAGTAGGCAGGGATTTTTATATTTCCCCAGCACTCTAGAGTCTCAGAGACAGGATGCATTTCCTAAGAGTCTCATCCCTGGGGTGCATTTTAAAGGCTATACAGTACAACAGACAGATTTTTTTTTTTGCCTAGAAAACAGTACACCACAAAGGTGGACAGAACTGCTTGTAAACAATGTCCCTCCCCCAGCTGGAGTCTGGGACTCCATGATGCCACACACAGGATGCTACAGACCCTCTAGGTGGATTCCTTTCAGTTCTGCACCAGAAGAAATGCTATTTCTACAGAAAATAAAATTCAAGATCACCATTCTTACCACCTCTCTGTTTACGAAAGGGATTACTGAATTGTCTTAGCCCTTTATTGGAAGAAATTAAATGTTGGGGAGGGGGGTAAGGAGAGGTTGCTGTTTAAGCATGAGTGACAGTGGGGAGATGGGAGGAAGGCAGAGTTACTTGCTCCCCACCAAGAGCAAGGCTGGCTGGCACACTCTTCAGACATCCTTGGCTGCCACCCTTGGCAGCTGGGTCTTCAGGAGTTGCTGCTGTTTTCCACATGGTCTCTGATGGGGACTGCTGGGGTTCATAGGCCAAACTCTGAGCCTTTCCCCAACCAGGCTGACCACACATCCCCTGCTGTGGGAGGACCCTGGCAGCAAAGCTGAGACACTGGTCCTCTGGTAGTGGCATGATGGTTTTTATGGCACTCATATCCTCTTTAGTTTGTCTCTGGAAACACCCTGGAGGGTCAAGGTTAGTGCGCTCACAGTTCACAGCTGTAGCTGCCACCTAGGTTGACAGCACCAGCTCCTGGGGTGTGGCTGTAGTCCGTTTTAGCTCAGGCCACTGAGGCTGGGCATGTACTTCGCCAGGGGCCCTCATCTGCCTTAGAGTAGTGCCCACACAGCACTTTGGTGAGGCAACCTGGACAATGGCGATGGCTCTATCATCTCTGAAGACTCTGTCTTGGGCAGTGGTCGGACTGATGTGGGATTCATTGTACCCCGTCTCCTCCACCATGTGCCACTGGGGCCCTGCTCACCCCTTGCAGCTTGGGGTGGGCTACTGAGATAACTCCCCTAGCACCACCAGCCTGAGGGCACTGGGTGGCACTGGGTTAAGGAGGGGAGTGTTCCCATCCCATGTCCCTATGCCCCCAGACCTAGGTCCCCACCCTGTAAGTGGCAGGGTGGTGATGTGGCTCTTGTGCCCTGCAATTGAGAGACAGGCACAGCACACAGCAGGACCTCATAGGGGCCTGCCCCACCTCCCAGGAGGACAAGCCCCGGGGTTGGGGTCAGGGGAGGCAGCTGACCTGGGGTGGTCAAGCAGTTTCTGGAAGCTGAATCAGAATTTGGGCCCAATCTGCCAGGTGAGGCCGGGGAGAGGGCAGAGAAAGCCTGGTTCCTGCTTCACCCTTCTGCCCCGCACGGTCCACAGAGGCACAACCACCAGGCCAGGGAGGAGGAGGTGGGAGGCTGGGAGACCTTCATTTATAATGAAACCTTTGCAGGTAGGTTTTGTGTGGGTGTGGGGGCCTGTGTGTGGCATGACTATGTCTGTGTGCACACGGGGTATGGCAGTGTGTCTATGTGTGTGATCATATCAGTGTGTATGCATGAGTTGTGCGTGCACATCTGTGTGTTTGTGTGCATGCGTGCCCGAGTGTGTCTGAAGGATGTGGCTCAGCCTGGAGGGACCAAGGGGACCTGGTGGGCTGCATCACTCACACAATCCTCTCAGGGCCTGAGGCTGAGGCCCGAGTAGGGGTGGCTGAGCCCTGTGAGTTCCTTGGACCTGGTTCTGGCCCCGGCAGCGGCAGCAGGCCCGACGGGGAGCCAGCTCCACACACGGTCTCGTAAGTGGGCAACGTGTCCATGGAGACGGTGCGGAGGTCACTCTGGGCCCCGGTCCTCTGCTCTTGCTGGTGTCCACTGGGGCTGGGGCCACTGTCTGAGTCGAGGGCGCCATTCAGTGTGGGACAGGAGGCGGTCAGTGAGTAGGGCGGCGGTGCGTCCATGGGGACATACAGCTGAGTGGCTCCTGGGCCCACACACTCCTCGTAGCTACGAAAGAAGAGGTTCTCTTAGGGCTCTGCAGAAGCCGGGCCTTAGGGGAATGTGTGGGGTCCCTCTGATTTGCAGTGATGAGCTGCCCGGACTGTGGACCTCCTCCTCTGGTACTGGGGATTGAACATCAGGGCACTCTCCATGGTGCTACATCTGAGCCCTTTTTATTTTGTATTTTGACACAGTGTCTCGCTAAATCACCCAAGCTGGCTTTGAACTTGTGATCTTCCTGCCTCATCCTCCCGAGTAGCTGAGATTAAAGGTGTGCACTACCATGCCTGGCATAGGGCTGCTTCTGATCAATGTCAAGGTGCACCGGGAAGGAGTCTGGGGTGCCTGGGAAGCAGAGTTCTCCCTGAGTCAGAGCAGAATGTTAGATTTGCCTCAGGCAGGATGGATGGGGGAGAGGCTTAGGAACCCCACCTTGCTCCAGGCTGATTGGGGTTAGGGCTTGGCCAGGGCTGGGCAGACAGCTGAGGCAGGGGTGGCGTAGGGCAAAAAAGGCCAGGACTGGACCAGAAGGCAGGACCACCCCCCTCCCCCACATCATCAAGATCTGCTGGGCGACAGAGCTGCCAAGCCTGGGGTTCCTGAGGTAGAATCTGCAGTCACTGAGGCAGACTGGCCATGGGGATGAGGAGAGGTTCCTGGTGTTAGAGATGGAAGCACAGCGGGTTTTGGAATAACCTGACCGTCCTCTCGTCTAAGGCCACCCCCCCCCCATAGACAGGCACTGTAGCAGACCCCCAGGGAGCTTAGAGTGGCTGCCATGGGACCACCCCCAAAACTGCAAGCCCTTACTGCCCTACTACAGCTTCCTGGTGACCTCTGCTGGGCCACACCCTGCCTCCCAGGGGTGAGGAGATGGCTACGCCCACTATGTTTCTGCATTTAGACTGTGGTCGGCTTCTACCCAGAGCCCCACTTCTCAGCATCCCCAAGAAGTGCCCCCTTACCCTGGTGGAGAATCAGGGTACAGCTCCCTGAGCACAGTGGCGTCCACATCCCCATCAGAGCTGATGTCCAAGGGTGGGGGCCAGTCCTCCGTGGGGCTGCAGGCCGAGCGCAGCCTGTGGCTGGAGCGGCTGTACGTGCGCCCGTCAGACACTGTGGGAACAGACAGCAGCCTGGGGCTCAGGCCAGTGCCAGGGACGACCCAAGGCCACCAAGGGGCCAGGGTCTCCACCTGACTATCCTTGCGCCACACACAGCTACCTGTATCCCAGCAGCTGCAACGGCCCCAGATGTGAGTGCTGTCACCGTGCTGGGCACGGGCCACAGAGCGGAAGCAGGGAGGGAACCCTGTCCTAGGACAGCCTGGTTCGGGGCAGTGGGCTGGGCTTTGACAGAGTTAGGGGGTGGGATGTGGGGGAACAGAGGTAGAGCAGCCGGCAGGAGGGGCTGCTAAAATAGCCAGAGGAAGAGGGGTGGCCTGAAGGAGGGAACCCAACAGGTGAGCCAAACAGACAGCTGAGAAAGAAGAGTGGTGTAAATAGGAACCACTGGGTTGAAGAGTAGGGCCGGGCAGGAAAAATGGGGACAATGGCCAAGAATGAGGGCTGCAGAGGTGCTTGGGATCAGACCTTCATATGCTTTCTTGCCCCAACCATACACCATTCCCTTTAAGTAAGGGGTACTTTTCTGTGATGAATCCACATCCTGCATTCTACTTTGTTTTTTGTTGTTGTTTTTGTTTTTTTTTGGTACCGGGGATCGAACTCGGGTCCTTGAGCTTGCGAGGCAGGTGGTGGAACCACTGAGCTAAATCGCCTGCCCTGTTTTTGTTTGTTTAATCACACACATAAGCTCAGACCTCTTCCCTCCCTTGATCTCTTTTCCCACTGTAGATTCTGACAGGAGCGGGAAATCTGGATATGAAGTCACATCTGCAGGTCTAACTCCAGGTTACGGATGGACACAGAGAAAGCTCTCAGAGGCAAGTATTCCCAGTACATCCTTTATGGGAGGCTCTGACCTTTATTTTCTTCTTTATATTGCCTGTATATTTAAGGTTTTCTACAATGAAGATGTATTACTTTTCTGCTAGAAAAAATGAACCCAATAACACGTGCTGCAAAAATGAAGCTGGGGAGAGATTTGTTCCCCTTCAGGATGGATGAATTGGAAGGATGTGGGGAGGGAACCCTAGAAACAGGAGAGCAAGAAGCAGCTAATAAGGCCGAAGCTGAGACAGGGCCTCCGATGCTGGGGAAGGGCTTTGTCCTGGTGGAGGGCCCACCTACAGGGTGGGAGGCTGCAGCTGCCCCCCAGGACCCCCGGGAAAGCCGGGGCTGCTTCCTAGACCCCAGGGGGCTGGCAGGGCCAAACCAAACTGCTCTTTACTCTCTCTTCTCAGGCTGCTTTCTCTTGGGTCTTCCAGAGGCTGAGCATCTCGGGGAAACTGAGGCTGCCCTCGGGTGCTTGCCTGGCTAAGACCTCAATCTGGGGATGTCCAAGTTCAGCCTAAGACGCCCCGCTGGGCAACCCCTCCTCCAGATTCCTTTCCCATCTGTCTACCCTTCCTGACTTTGGGCAATGCAGACACAAATGGTGCAGGCCTCTGGAAGCCCTGGGAAGGTGAAATCTCCTTATTCGTCTTTTGCCAAAATTAAGAAATTTTGTTACGCCCAATCCATGGCTGCTGTCCCTTGACAGGCTGGGGAGGAGGGAGGAGAACCTGGGCCCAGGGCCACTGCTCGCCCCATCAGATGAAGAGATGAGGGCTGAGGTCCGGAGGAGACAGACAGCCGGCCACCAGGGCTCTCTCAGTGCTCTGGATCTTTCCATCTTTTGAAACAGAATCTCTCCCTCCCCTTCCTCCCCCTTATCTGTTGGCTCCTGTCTGTCTGGCCAGACTGCAGAAAAGCCCTGTGGGCAAAGTGAATGATACTCTGCTGAGGACAACAGGAGCCATGGAGGGCTGCTGATTACAGGACTGATGTGGTCAAGTCCAGTGTGAGGTGGGTTGCTGGTGGAGAATGCCTTGGATGGCCAGGCTGGCTGCAGGCAGGATTAGAGGCAGTGACCCAGAGGCAGGTTTGCTCAGGAGAGAAAATGGTTCACATTTGCAGAGCATTGACTCAGTATTAACTAACTTAGTCTTTGCAATAACCCCCCACTCCCAGTACTGGGAATCGAACCCAGACCCTTTGCACTGAGCTATATTCCCACCACATTTTTATTTTTATATTTTGAGACAGGGTCTTGCTAAGTTGCCCAGGCTGGGCTCAAACTTTCTTTTTTCTTTTTTTTTTTTTTTTGGTACTGGGGATCAAACTTGGGACCTTGCACTTGCAAGGCAGGCACTGGAACCACTGAGCTAAATCCCCGGCCCCTGGGCTCAAACTTTCAATCCTCCTGCCTCAGCCTCCTAGAGTTCTGGGGCTATAGGCATGAGCCACCATGCCCAACTCATTAACTTGTTATGGTGGCTCCCCATGTCCCCATTTTATAGATGGCTTGCCTGAGATACAGAGAGGTTAGCAACTTTGCCTAGGTTGGAGAGTAAAAAGAGGATGTGCTTTGGAATCCTGCGTTGGAGGTGCCTGCCTCTGTTTCTCTTCAAAAGGCCAAGGCTGACCTCTCAGCTTGGGACATTTGGAGTGACAGTGGCCCCTGGCCTGGGTGCCCGTCACATCTTGCTGTGAGGATGGGATGAGGTGGTTCCTTCTCTTGTCCCTGGAGGACCCCTCTAGGTTGGATCCTGGCCCATTGTGGGATCAGCCACACAGTCACCCCATGACTGAGGCTCCGACGGAGGTGTGTGGACAATGTCGAGGAAGCGCAGGGGAGGGGGATTCTGATTCGACTCTGCCTGGTAGGGGTAAGGAGGGACCACAGAAGCTCCCAAAAGGAGATGGCATTTGAACTGGCCGGGATGGCTTTGGTGGCTGGGGAAGCAAGGGGGCAGCAGTCTGGCAGAGAGCAGAACAAATGTAAATGGACTGGGGCTGAAAGGAGCATGGATAGGCACTTGGAGAGGAGCGGAGAGTGGGAGTCAGGCACAAGGGGCAGGTGGGCAGTGGGCCTGCCCAGCACCATCCTGGGGTGGGGTGGCTGAAGGTGGTGACTGGGCTCCTCCTGGGAGGAGGGAATGCTCTGGTCAGAAGCCCCATTTCTCCTGGGTCATGCTGGTGACTCGAGAGTGGGCTGGGCCACTCCTGCTCTGGGCAATGCTCCTGGCTCGTCTTCTTGGGGGGTCCTTGGTTTCTGGGGAGACTCGTGGCACTGGCTGGCTGGGCTTGACCCCTCTGTTCCTTTCACGAATGCTGACCTTTCTCTTTAGTCCCCATCAACAGCAGACCACTAACTGGCTGTCTTTCTTCCACTGGGGCCGCTTGTTCCTCTGTGTCCTAAGGTCTGGCCTCCTGCTCTTCTCCCTACAGCTTTTCCAGAGGAGGAGCAGCTATGTGTTAAGGCCCCAGGCCATGGGAGCATCTGCAGACCTTGCTTGAGCCTACAGGTGGCCCCCACTGGCATCTCTCCCAGCCCTTCCTTGGCAGGGCTGTGACCGCCCGGCCTTCCTGGCAGTGCTGTGCAGTGCTCAGCCCGAGGGCAGCCAGGCTGGCCTGCAGGGGCTCACATCTCGGATCCACCACTCGCTGGCTGGGTGACCCCAGACCCACTCTTGAACTACTCCAGCCTCTACTCCTGATCTGTCAATTGGGGTGGTGATAAAAAGTAGCCACTCCTGGGGCCGGGGATTGTGCTCAGTGGTTCCGCTGCCTGCCTCACAAGTGCAAGGTCCCGAGTTTGATCCCCACCCCCCCTCCCCAAAACAAAAGAAAGAAAGAAAGAAAGAAAGAAAGAAAGAAAGAAAGAAAAAGTAGCCACTCCTGGGCCATGGTGAGGATTCTGCACAATGAGATTCAGCACAGAAAGTGCTAGGCATTTGGTAAATGTTTCTCACCCATCGCCAGTACTACCAGGCTTCCTCTGCTCTGTAGCTTCATTGCTAAAAAGGGGCACCCTCTCCAACCAGTTAATTCTGTGGAAAGAGGAAACTTCTCATTCCTGCTGGTTAATCTGGGTGTGCTGGGGGAGGGAAGGAAGGAAGGCTCCAAATGTTCTAGGCTTGTTGGATCCAATTCAGTCCATCTGGAAACTCTGCCCATTTTTCTTTCTTTCCTTCCTTCCTTCCTTCCTTCCTTCCTTCCTTCCTTCCTTCCTTCCTTCCTTTCTTTCTTTCTTTCTTTCTTTCTTTCTTTCTTTCTTGGTACTGGGAATCGAACTCAGGACCTTGCGCTTGCGAGGCAGGCGCCGGAACCCGGCCCCCTGCCCGTTTTTCTTTTTCCCAGACTTCTAGAGGGGAAGAGCCCCTCAGGTCTTGCCATGCCTCAGCCCTCCAGGGGGCTCAAGTCACTTCATCTGCAGTGTGCTGGGCCCTGCTGGGATTCTGCCCTTCCTGACCTGCTTGTCTTCCCTACCTGCAGTGTGGCCTTGGCCTCTGGGTAGAGCCCTGCAGGCTTGGCACAGGCTCCTATGGGCAGGGGTCTGGCTTTTCTTGCCAGCGAAAATTGTCTGAGAATTGAATGCAATTGAGTTCTTTCCTGCTAGTTTTAGACAACTGATCCCTGCCAGGAATGAGAGTCAGGTGCTGCATTCTGGCCAAATGGATACGTCTGTGATTGGTGCCTCAAGAATTAGCCACAAACTCTGTTTTAGTGTGAGTCTCATAATCGAGAGACCCTCAAATTGTTTCTATGTATTTGCACTTCACAGGCCCTGTGGGATAGATTTATTTACTGCTAATTCATCCCACCCATTCTTTCATCCACTTAATCAAAAACAAACTCATGCCAATCACCGCACCAATCCCCTACTTTCCTGTCAATCCACCTTCCGTCCTCTACCTGCCCATCCTTTCTATCCTACTCAGCCATCCTTCTAGTCATCCCTCCTTCCATCTACCCATTCATCCCCTCCACATCCATCCACTCAATCCTGCACCAACCCGTCCCCCTACCAGTCCATTCCCCATCTTCATTCATCCACTCCTCCACCCACCTCCCATCCATCTCACCATCCATCCTCCAATCTGGTACCAGCTGGGAGACATGAAACACTCTCCCCCTGGCCTTCAACCTCACCTGAAGTTACTCTCTTGGCAGACCATATGGGGCCACTCATGCTACAGAGCACACATGGTGGGCATCTGTGAGCTCTTTCTGATGACCAAGACCAGCAGGGCACCTTCCCTGACCACCCAGCCCTACCCATGGCAGAGCCACCCCCTCCCCAAAGCCTCCCAGGTTTAGTCACAGGGGCAGCCATCCCAGGTCCCCAGGTGGGCAGCAGCTCACCATGGCTCTGCTCGTAGTCTTGGTTTCGGTGTCGCCGGCGGTGGTGGCGCTGGAGCCTGGCTTGCCTGTCCCTGCGGATGCTGCCCACGATGATGGTGATGCAGGAGAGGATGATGACCACACCTATGACAGCACTCGCCACCAGCACAGGAGACACGAGCAGGTGACTATGCTCCGAGCTCTCTGAGAATGTGGGGTAGAAGTAGCTGGTGCGGTTGTATCGTGCTACTGTGGACAGAGAGAGGACTCTGAGCTGAGGCCCAGGCCTGCCACACACCTTTCTCCTCCACCTCTGCTGCCCTATGAGTCATTTGTCCTGAAATAAATGGAGGGTGGTCCAGGGCCCGACCCAAGGATTCCCTCCTGGTCACTCCTCTAGGGAGGAAGGAGGGGATTGGTGCTTCACCCCATTACCTGCAGGAGTGACCACTTTTCTTTTCCTCTGAAGCCTCTGCCCCAGGAGCTCAACTAACTCACAGAGAAGAAAAGGGAAACTCAGAGAGGGAAATGGACTTATCCAAGGCCACAAAGCAAATCAGTGGCAGAGCTGAGGTTGACAGGACTTTACGAAGGTCTTGAGAAGGGGCAGGAGATGCAAAGAGGGGCAGAAGACAAGGAGGATAAGGGCCAGTATGTAGTCCCTGCCTGAGATCCAAGCCTTTGCTTACAGAAGTTCACTGGAAGATGCTTCACACACATGCTTTTGGCTGGACACACATGCTTCCTGGCTCTCTGATCTGAGGGTGCCAGCCTAGGAGGACTTGTGGAGTCAAGATGAGGGCCAAATCTAGACCAGTTTTCAAAGCCCCTACTATGTGCAGACTCAGTGCTAAGATCTCATTTTATCTTTGGAGTTACGTTCATCCAATTCTTCTCATTTTACAAGTAGAGACACTAAGGCTCAAGGATATCAAATCACTTACCTGCAGTCATGCAGCCAATACATGACTGAGCCAGGCCTTCTCTAGGGCTTAGTCTCTCCACTAGACCATAATAGTCTTTTTAGCACTGCATAATAATAATAGCACCAAAAGAGGGAAGAAAGAATAGAGTTATATAGGCGTGATTGGAGTAGCTCACTTCTCAATGTAATCAAGTTTGTATAACCAAGTAGAGTCTGATAAGATGTATAAGGTAAGGGGGCCGGGGATTTAGCTCAGTGGTTTCGCTGCCTGCTGTACAAGTGCAAGGACCCGAGTTCGATCCCCGGTGCCCCCCCCCCCAATGATGTATATGGTAAGCCCTAGAGTAACCACTAAGAACATAACTCAAACAAATATGGTTAAAAATCATTGAAGGAATTAAAATACAGCAAGTCTCTGACTTACAAACATTCAAGTTGCAAACTTTCACAGATACCAATGGACCTTGCATTACGAACATTCATAGATGTGAACAAATCAAGGATGTAGCTCACGTGTCTGTCATGACACAGTTGTGCTGCTGTGTGTTTATGTACAGAGCAATACTATACAATAGTACAGTACAGCTGGGGGGCCTTATTGTATTTTTGCACATGTTTGGTTTTTTTATGCTTTATATTGTATGTTGCATCCAAGGTGTATAAGAGTTACTTTGTCAGACTCACAAATGAATCTGACTTACCAACATTTTCCAAGAATGGAACTTGCTCATATGTCAGGGACTTACTGTATTACCCTAGAAAATATTCACTTAAAGTAAAAAGGAGAAATAGAGGAACACAAAAAGACATAAGACATATACAAGGTGAAATGTAAAATACCAGACATAAATCTGACTTTATCAATATACTGTCAAATGTGAACCTATTAAGCCAATCAAAGGCAGAGCTTACCAGCCTGGGCAAAAAACATAATCCAACTATGTACTGTCTAGAGGACTCTCACTTGGGAACCAAAGCTAAAAGTAAAAGAATGGAAAAATATCTACTATACAAATATAAGAAAGCTGGAGTGGCCATAAAAAATAATAGCAGAAAAAATACACTTTAAAACAAAAAAGTGTCACTAGAGATAAGAGGACCTTTTTATAATGAGAAAGGGTTGATTCATTAGAATATCATAACAATTATAAACATATATGCACTTAAGAAGAGAGAGCCAAAATATGTAAACTAATGCTAACAAATTGAGAGGAAATATAGATAATACAATAGTAACAGCTGGAGACTTTAATACTCCATTTTCAATAAGGTACAGAAAAACCAGAGAGAAGATAAAAAAGGAAATGGGAAACTTAAATGACACTATATGTGAATTAGACCCAAAAGACATCCATTGACCACTGTGCCAACAACAGTGGAATATACCTTCTTCTCAAGCACACATTGAATGTTTTCCAAAATAGGTCATATGCTAGGCCATACGATGAGTTCCAACAGATTTTAAATGATTGGCATTGTACAAAGTGTATTTTTTTATCACAATGAAGTGAAACTAGAAATTAATAATAGAAATTTGTGACATTCACAAATACATAGAAATAAAACAGCACACTGATTAATAACCAATGAGTCAAATAGAAAATCATAAGAGAAATTAAAAAATACTTTGAGATGAGTTAAAAGGAAGATACATCATACCAAAGTTTGTGAGATGCAGCTAAAGACGTGTTCAGAAGGATATCTATAGCTGTGAATATCTACATTAAAAAAGGAAAAAGATCTCTGATCAACAAATAACCTTCTACCTTTAGATACTGGAAAAAAAGATCAACTTAAATCCTAAGCAAGAACAAGGAAGTAAATAAAGATTAGAGTGGAAATTGTGAAAAACAGTAGAGAAAAATCAATGCATTAAAAAGTCGGTTCTTTGAAAAAGCTAAAACAAAACAAAACAAAACAAAAACCAAGCCTTTATCTTGAATGACCAAGGTATGAGGAGGGTACCGGGAGGGAAGACTCAAAGTACTAACATCAGAAATGAACGTGAGGACATAAATACAGACCTTATAGCAATTAGAGTGGTCAAGGCATACTATGAACAATGAAATGCCCACAAATTGGATAACTTGCATGAAATATACAAATTTATGGATCTATACAAAACTTAGCAAATGAACTCAAAAAGAAACAGAAGCTGTGAATAAATCTGAAACTAGTATAGAGATTGAATTAATAACTTAAAAAATTCAGAAAGAAAAGCTCAGTATCACATAGCTTCACCACCTGTTGGGTGAATTCTACCAAACATTTAAAGAAGAGAAAAGTATATGTAAGAGAAATGGAATTTCAGGTTGGGAAGATGCAGAAAGTTCTGGAGACAGATGGTGTGATGGTTGCAAACCAATGTGAATATGCTTGATGCCACTGAACTGGACACAACATGGTTGGAATAGTAAAATGTATGTTTCTATATTTTTACCAAAATTTAAAAAACTACAAAAAGAAGCTAAATTTCTCGCAAACTTTTTAAAAACATAAAGGTAAGAATATTTCTCAATTTATTCTGCAAAGCCAGTGCTACCCTGATAACAAAGCAAGACACAAACATTACAAGAAAATTACAGAACAATATTTCTTATAAATATAGATGCAAAAATTCCCAGAAAAATACCAGTAAATTGAGTACAGCACGACAGGTCCTCATGGTTTTGATAACCAATTCTGGTTGTCACTTCTTAGATATGATGACCAAAGCATGAAAAGCAAAAGGAAACAGATAAACATAAAAATTTCTGCATTAAAGGGCACCATTAAGAGGGTCAAAAGACAACCTATAGAAAGAGAAAATATCTATGAATCACATATCTCATAAAGTAGTGTGTCTATAACAAACTATTATAATTCCAATAATAAAAAGATAACTCCATTAAAAATAAGTAAAAGGGTCCGGGGATTTAGCTCAGTGGTTCCGCTGCCTGCCTCACAAGTGCAAGGTCTCGAGTTCTATCCCAGGTACCAGAAAAAAAAAAAAGAAAAAGATCTAAATAGACATTTCACCAAAGACACAACTGTCAAAAAGCACATGAAAAGATGCTCAACACTCTTGGCCATCAGGTAAACGCAAACTAAAGTCACAATGAGACAGCACTTCACTCTCACTAGGATGGCTAGAATAAAAAAGATTGAGTATTTCGAGTATTGGTGAGGATGTGGAGATTGGACCCTATATAAACTGCTGGTGGGAATGTACAGTGGTGCAGCTGCCTTGTGAACACAGTCTAGTGGTTAACATAATACCATATGACTCTGCAACTGCCCTTCTAGGTATATACCAAAAAATGAAAATATACATCCTGTAAAAAAATGTGTACATGAATATTTATAATAGTATTATTGGTGTGGCCTCCCAGAAGTACCTGGCACATGGCTGCCTTCCACTCATATTTAGATCTTTTTAAAAAAGTCACCACCTCAGAGATTGTCACATTGGCTGTTGAGCATCCCCTGAAGGTCCATATGTAAAATCTTGGTGCCCAGGGCGATGCTACTGGAAGACAGTGGAACCTTTGGAAGGCGGGGCCTTGTGGGAGGAGCTTAGGTCATAGGGGGCATGTCCTTCAAAGGGATTGTGGGATACTGATGGGTTTTCTCTCTTCCTGCTCTGATTGGAGATGTGAATCTTTTGCTCTTACACACATTCCCTGCCTTTGCCATCCACAGCAAGTGGTGATGAAGTCAAGGGGTGGCCCTTGCCAACCCTGCCGTATGCCATTTGGACTTTGAACCTTCAAAACTGTGAATTAAACAACCTTTTCTCTTTATAAAGTTAACTGACTGATAATTTATCAGAGTAACATGAGGCTGATTAATACAGAGAGGTTGCCCGGATTGACCCCTACTCTACTATAAAGCATATCACCCTATGTGTTTTCTTCAAAAGCACTTATCATAGTCTCTAAACATCTTGCTTATTCTTTATTATGTTATATCTTTGGGTTTCTTGCTCACTTTACTGAATTGTTAACTCCTTGAAGTCAGAAATTTCATCTGTACAGATTTGGTCAGTGAATCTGCAGCACATAGCTAACTGCCAGGCACTGAAGAGGTCCTCATTAAATATTTGCTGCATGACTGAGGGAACTGTAGTGGACTTAGTTGACTCTATGTCTGTTTTCCCATTAGGCAAGAATTTAATTTCTTTTCTATTCTTTGACGGATTGTGACAGGTTGCATTTTGGATGAAATGCCAACTTCTCATTTTTATTTCATTGCCTGTCAGCTACTGTAAGCTAATGTTTTCCATTTTTCCTAAGACTCACAGATGAAAGGTAAGGCTCCCTTCTGTTTCCTCCCAGGCAACAGA